CACCACAACCGGATGTGCTAGGACCCCAAGGCATGGCTGAGCCAGCTGCCCACATACCCGCTTCTGGCAGGACTGGCGCATGTCCTCCAGCTCCTCCTCCTGGTCCTCACGGTCCTTCTGGTGCATCTGTTTCATACGTTCAATCTCCAGCTCGAACTGCTGACGAAGCTGGGGGTGGGGAGGCAGCAACAATATGTGAGGGGGACCCACTCCTCCTCTCCCCCGACCCTCCATGTCCACCATGGCATTTCCATCGCACTTTCCATCTTTGGGGTACATGCAGACATGATCAACGAGTAGCCCAAATGCAACCTCCATCCCTTTGTATGGTCATAATAATCACCAATCAATCATTTATTCCCACTGAGTTTAGATGCATCCTTAGAATCCTTCACAACACTCTGGTGTTGAAACAAATTTGTCATCCCTGGAAAATATATCAGTGATGGTATTTAGGATGAGTATATGTACACATGTATGTATGGGATTACAAATGGATAAATGGATGCATGGATGGATGTGTTTATAGATAGATAGATAGATGGATGCATTTATAAGTAAGGGGACAGATGGAGGATTTATGGATGGATGGATGAATTTATAGATAGATGGAGGGTTGGATAGATTGCTTAATGGATGGATGGATGGATGGATGGATGGATGGATAGATGGATAGATAGATGGATAGTTACTGGGTGGATGGATGGATAGGTTTGTAGATGGATGGATGAGCTTATAAATGAGTAGAGATGGAGGGTTTATGGCTGGACAGATGGATTTTTTTGCATGTATGGACTTATGTATGTGTGTACTTATTTATAGATGCATAGATGGATTTATGGATGGATAAATGTTTATGTATGCATAAAAGAAAACCTGAGGAATGAATTAACTTGTTCAAGAATTAAATTAGGTAATCCATGGAAAGTAGGTAGCAGAGTTCCTAACAGATTAATATTTATTACAGCCCCATTCCTCACCATTTTGAACACAAAAAGAAAAGTGTATCATCCCTCTTCCTGGTAATTTGACCTCATGGAGGAACTGGGTCATCTCAGGGAGATTCTCTGAAGCTGATGCAGGACAAACAATGAGCGGTGTGCTTACACTGTGTGGTGTGTGGTGTGTGGTGTTGTGGAATGGACTCTGGAACAGGAGGCAGAAGTCATGGGTCCCAGCTCTTGTTCAAGACGTGTTTCCTGATCTGCAGAATCAACACACTGATCTCAAGCCCTTGCTTCTCAAGTGTGGTGACATTACAATTACTTGACATGCACCATCCGTTGGTTGTACTGTGGTGATGTGTGTGTTGCTATTATGCTGAAAGCTATATCGCCAGTATCTCAACTATCAGCAGGGTCATTCACGGCAGACAAGTTTCAGTGGAGCTTTAAGACAAAGCAAGATCTACTTCCCTGAAATGGCCCACGAAAACCCTCTGACTCACAGCAGCGTGCTATTATTACTGGAAAACGAGCCTCCTTGGTTGGAAGACATTACCGAATGACTACAGTGCATGCAAACAGGCCATAGTGATGGCGACCCTGTATGCTTCAGAAGAAACACTGCCAAGTTCGGCGCCATCCTCTCAACTGATCTTATGTTTGAGTCCATTGTTTCTGCGCAGTGGTGGCGCCACGATGACCTGGGCGCTGACGATGCTTTGGATGTTCTACATAAGGTCACTGTGAGACAAAGCCAGCCGGGCAGCAACCACCCGCAATGACCATGAACTCCGGGAAACCACTCCGGACCCTCTGAGCCAGGATCTCCAGAGCACAGGAATCTATATTTTAAAGATTTCATAGAATTGGGCTAAGGTCCACACAGCCATAGTTGGAACTCAGTGGTATCAATGGGTTACCAAAACCAAACTCACAGCCATCCGGTGGATTCTGACTCGTGGAGACCCTGGAGAACAGGGTAGAACAGGCCCTGGGGGGTTGCCAGATTGTAGATCTTTCCAGGAGTAGAAAGGCTCATCTTTCCTCCAGAGTGGCAGGTGGTTTTGAACTGATGACCTTGCGGTTAGCAGTCCCACACATACTTAACTATAACTTTCTGACCATTTGCTGCACTGTTCCAGCCCTTCTCACCTAGCTTTCTGAAGCTAGTTCCAACACCTGCCCTAATGTGGAGATTAAGTTGAGAAGAGAAAACAAAGACAAACCCATCTTTGTCTTCTAAGAAACCTAGTAAAATTCCTTGCTATGTAGGACTCTAGGTGTCCCTGGGCCGTACAAAGAGTTAAGTACCTCAGAAAAAAGACCCGGTGGTCTGCTTTCAAAATACAGTGCAGCACAAGTCTCCTCTGATGTACCCAGGCTGACATGAATCAAAGCAACCAGACACCAACTGGTTTGGTTCAGATTGAACCATACTAATTCAATCTGTGTGCTGGGCAAATCAACAGGGAAGCTAGATTTCATGAAGGAAAAATCAACATTGGGAGGGTCGCTATGAATTGAAACTTACTCGATGGCACAACAACAACAACAACAACAACGCAGTGAGGTCTGGCAAGCACACACTGCATTGCAATGCCTGGAGGGAAGTAAGCTCCCTGTACCTGTCAGCTTCCTCCCCATCTGTAATATGACAGAGGTTATGGGAAGATAATCCAGAATGAGAACTCCAGGCAAGTAAATAGAAGATTGCTTTTTCCATTTTGTTTCCAGCCCCTTGGACACGCCTGACATCTGCAAAACCATTCGTGTCAAGCTTATATGAGTTAACACAAGATTCCCGGGGAAGAGTGCTATATGATCATCCGTAACTATCTGCTGAATGTCTGCAAGGACACGGGCAGGGTGAGGTTATGGGCAAAGCTGGAGATGGATGCATGCTTTGACTTCGCCTTGCCTCCTGGGCACACAGCAAGGTTGGACAGTCAGATAGTTGCATTAAGTTCTGGGTCCCGAGGTTCACAGTTCTGCATCTGGGCACTGAGTGGCCCCTTGGAATCCTTCACAACCAACACTGATGCTGAGACAACTTTGTTTTCCCTGGAGGAGCCCTAGTAGCTTAGTGGTTACATGTTGGGCTGTTAAACAAAAGTCAGTAGTTCAAAACCACCAGGATCTGCACGGGAGAAAGATGGGGCTTTCGACTCCTGTAAAGAGTTGCAGTCGTCCCAGAAACCCACAGATGCAGCTCTACAGAGTTCAATAATGTTATGACTCGGCCTAGACTCAAAGGCAGGAAGTTTGGTTTGGGAGCAGATACCAGTAATGGTATTTTGGATGTGTGTGTATATAAGCATGTATGTATGCATTTCTGCATGCATTCATGTGTATGCACGTGTGCATGAATGCATGCATGTACATACATATATGCATATGTGTGCATGCATGTGTATGTGTTTGTGTGCACGCACGTGTATGTATACATGAGTATGCATGTATGTGTGTGTCCATGTGTGTATCTGCATGTGCATGCATATGTGGATGTGTGTGAATGCACGTGTAGATGCCTACATGTATGCACATACATGCATATATACAGGAACGCATATATGTGTGGACATGCACACCCGTGTGTACATGCTCATGTACACATGTACACACATACATGTATGCATAGACAAGATGGATTGACACAGCGACTGAAACAATGGTCATAGAGCGGCAATACTATTTTCCAAAGTGCAGGTTTAACTCCTGGTTCTATGAGACTACTACCAGTTGACACACCCCTGGGGTGCCATGCGAGGCAGTACCATCTTTCCTGTCCCTTATAACCTATAAGGGGTTCTTCCTTCTTTGGGAACTTTCACAGATTTCTGAGTGAGGGGCAAAGGGGAAGCTAGGAGATGAAAAGTGACCAGATTCAGAGTCGTGGAGCACAGTACTGCTCTGATGCATGGAGTGGTCCAGGGTCGGAATGAACCCGGTGGCAGTGGGTTTTTCCTGAACTTGAGCTATAAGACACATAGTCTCCTGGGTCTGGGCAGCTGCTTGGCCTGTGTTCCTGCTGTTGCTGTTTACAAGGAGACTGAAGTCAAAGGCAAAGAGGGGATCTTATAGACAAGATAGACAAGTCCCGCGGCAAGGGCTCCATCTGGCTACAATTCTTCACAGCTCCTTAAGCGGAACATGACTTTCCTGCCCTGGGCTTTGCACAGGCTGTTCACGCTGTCTCAGTCACAGCAAGCCAACTCGGGCCCGGCCTTCAGGGTTTACCTTCCGAAAAAAGCCATTTTTTCCTCCTGGAATTCTCCCTGCTGGCCACTCCCTCATTGCAGCTTCCAAGTGAAGCCTGCCCTGGATGTTCAGGCTGGCTCCTCACTTCAGGGGGATGCCGCTGACCGCTGCATCTTTAACACCCACACCATGCCCAACACATATTGTTACAGCCCAACAACAACAGAGCCAGCGAGCCGCTATAGAAGCATGTAAACCAAACCAAACTCATTGCCATTGGATCGATGATGACTCATCGTGACCCTCCAGAGCTGCCCTTGTGGGTTTCTGAGACTGTAATTCTTTAAAGGAGTAGAAAGCCCCGTCTTTCTCCCTAGGAGTGCCTGGTGGTTGCAAACTACTGACTTTATAGTTAGCAGCCCAATGATGAACCACTATGCTACCAGGGCCCCGTTCACATAAGGCACTTCAAATCCTTTGTAGGAAGAGGCAGGGAGGTAGACCAGTCCACTGTTTCTCTGGCTCCTGAGTAAAGGAACTGCTGCGATAGCTTACTTTGTCGTGTCTTGCTCGCTTTTCACTTTCGCCACTTTGAGGACTAAGGTGTGCCAGCCCTGAGGCAAGGCCACTTCAATCACTTCAGGTGCCTGTGAAAGCCGGACAACCAATAAGGAAGCCCACAGAAGCGTTGGGGTGAAGAATCCTGAAAGGCCCATGGACTTCCAGAAGAGTGAACAAAGCTTGGGAGAAGTACAGCTCTAATGCCCCTTAGGAGAAAGGGTGGTGAGCCTTCATCTTACAGGCTTAGGACAGGCGCCAGGTGGGACAAGTTCCTAGAGGACATCATTCATGCTTGGTAAAGTAGAAGGTCAGCGACAAAGACGACCTTCCACAAGATGGACTGTCGCACAGCGATGGTGAGGATGGCGCGGGACTGGCACTGTTTAATCCTGCTGTACCTGGGTCACTGACTCAGACCTGACCCGAGGACACCGAGCACACACTTGTTCCCATTGACTATTTCCCATCTCCCAAAGCAGGCTCTGATCCTGTCCGCACCGCTGCATCCAGACGAGGCATACAAGACTCTAATGCCCACCACTGACTCCATATCGCTGAGCCTCAGCTTCCCCATCTGCCAAGAACACCAGCATCGCACCCCACAGAGGCTGATGTGACACTTGGATAACCCGCCATACATGCAGTGGAGCATCAGCTGTGTCCCTGGCCTCACTCTGGGCCCTGGGCACGCATGCCACAAGCACAATGGACGGTCAATTGTTCTGTCGAATTAGAAAGAGAGGCATTGAGTGCACTGCACAAATACTATCGAGCACGGGGGCTGGCAAACTGCGGCTCTCAAGCCATATGTGACACTTTCGGTACATACAAGGGGCTCAAGTAAAATTGAAAATAAAACTATAGTTTCATTTATAATGCAATATACTATTTATAATATTACTTTACTTTTTCTCTTTTTGGTAAAAATATATGTATGGGTCTTGAATAACTTTTAAATTGTGGTGAGGGGCAGGATTGGCCCTTCTGCCTCCAAAGTTTGCCAAGCCCTGCCCTAGAAGATGGCAAAGGAGTGGAGCATTGGGTGGGGCTGGTTTGGGGAAAGTGACCAGGCAGGCTTCTTGGAAGAAGTGCAGTGAGGCTTGTAGGATGGTAGGAGAGGGCAAGATCCTAGAGAGCCTGAGTGTCAGATGACTGTTTAGAGCAGGGGTCTGCAAACTTTTTAAACAGAGGGCCAGTTCACTGCCCCTCAGACCCGTTGCAAGGTCGGACTATAGTTTTAAAAAAAACTATGAACAAATCCCTATGCACACTGCACATATTTTATTTTGAAGTAAAAAACAAAACGGGGCAAAAACACCCGGCGGGCTGGATAAATGTCCTTGGCGGGCCACATGTGGCCCGCGGGTCTAGTTTGAGGACGCCTGAGACTCTCCTGGAGCAATAGGGAGCCATTGATGGATGTGAAGCCACCCAGTGGAGTGAGTGTCTGTCCTACTGCACCGTCCTCTGCAGAGGCGCCAGCCTGGTTTACTGACCTGCTCCAGCTGCTTGATGGTGTTTTCTTGCTGGGTCTGGGTTTTCTGCTGCTCGACAGCATGGGATTCCATCTTCCAGAGTTTCTCCTTCAAGTCGGCGACGCCGTTTTGCCCCACTGAGGGGGCCCCCAGCAGTTCCTGCTTGTGGGCCTGCAGCCTCTCCACCTCCTGCTTCAGTTGCAAGGTGTCCCGTTCCTTTTGCTGCAGGGACCGAGGAGGTAGCAATCTGGAGTGACCTGACACATGGCTAGCTGCTAGAATAGCACTTGGCTTTCCACTTTCCACTGCCCGCCTCCACCTCAAGGCCCCACAGAGCAACCCCTGTGGGACAGCAGTGGGAGTTGCTCTGGAGGACAGATGGGACAGGTCATGGTGGGCGTGTTGGTGGGAAAACACTGCCAAGGCCCTTCCTGTTAGATTCCAGAGTGTGTCAGGGGCTGGGATGTCAGAACCAAGTGGCCAAGTTTCCAGAAATGACTATTCTAGATTAGGAAGCCGGCTCTGGATGCCAGATAACTTTGGGCAGTCTGGAACAAACCCCTGGTCTACCAAGTCTCCCAGGCCTCCCAGGATGCCAGAAGCAGAATCCTGACATCAGGTACGGAGGTCTGCTGGTGACGGTGCCAACCTCTGCTTGGTTTAGTAAGTCATGCCAGGTTCTGTGGCAGGACAGCCACTCAGGGCTCCCTCCCTGTCACCATGTGCAGATGGGACTCAGCAAGAAAAATTCAAGATGGTGCCAGAGCCCCCTGTTACCTCCAGCTGTTGCTGCAGCTTGCCCAGCTCCCACTGGATGCTGGTGTTCTCCCGGGTGACTTTCTCCCGGATGCCCTTCTCAAACACGGACTCCCCCAGGGCCTGGGCCAGCTGCATGTCAAACCTGCACAAGGGAGAGCATATGTCACAGCACGGTGGTACCAGGGCGGGGATCCTGGGGTGGGTGCAGGGGAGAGAGAGCTGGTTTACCAAAGCAGAGAGAGGTGTGTGAGAGGACAGGATCGGGGAGAGAGGGGAGACTGGGAAAGAGGTAGAGGGGAAAGGGGGGGAGTGGAAAGTGGGGGTGGGGAGGAGAGGAGAGAGAGGGGGCAAGAGAGAGAGAGTACAGAGAGGAGAGGGAGAAGAGAGGAGAGGAGAGGAGAAAAATAGCCCTTCAAGAAGACTCACACTGCCATCTGACTTGGTGTCAATCAAAGAGCCCAGAATTCCTTGGGGAGAAGTTAGAGAGATGAAGTAAATAGAGCTAGATGGAGGTTATGTCAAGAAGCGATAATTCCCTTTTGACAATGAATGAAGGTTTCTATGATTTTAAATACAAATAGAGCCATATGAATGGGGCGCATACTGCATTTCATATTTTACACCACAGTGTCTGCCTCATCCTCCCCCAACCCAAACCCATATCCACTGCCATACAGTTGAAGCTGACCCATAGTGACCCTCTAGGATAGAGGCAAAATGCTCCCTAGGGTCTCTGAGGCTATTTATCTTTAGGAGAGCAAACCTCCTCATCTTTCTTCTCAGCAGCACCCGGTGGGATTGAATCGCCCATCTTATGGTCATCAGTTCAACACTTAATCCACAGTGCCACCAGGCACTCATTAGCCATATTCAAGTTTTATAATAAGTATTGATACAGGGATCCCTGGTGGCACAATAAGTCAGGCACTGGGCTGCTAACTGCTAGGACAGCTCTTTGAACCCACAAGCCACTGCTCAGGAGGAAAAAAAGGCAGTCTGTTCCCATAAAGACCGATGGTCTTAGAAACCCAGAGGGTCGCTATGAGCGCCAATCCATTTGATGACAGTGGGTTTGGGTTGATGATGGAAACAATATTGGATATTTATACTTTAAGGATTGTTTTTATTTGCTTCCCAAGAAGTTCGCACCAAGACCAAGACCACTACTCAGAGTCATGCAGGGTAATCACAGATAAGGACTCATCAGCCTTCACCCCAACCTTCCTTGTTGATGGCCACCAAGGGGAAGAAGCTCTTTCTTTGCATCATGCCATCCGTCAGCATCCCCACTTTCAACCCTATAAACGGAGGAGTCGTGGACAAGTCTCAATAGTCTAGGACTTTGAGTCCCTTGCCCCCAGCCTGACAGGAAGTCTACATTGCTTTTGAGGATTCCCGTGTGGCCAGGGTAACAGAACCAGGCATGAGCTTGGGTTCTGTTGCCTACAAGGTCTCCCTTGGTCCAAGGTCAGCCAATAGCCCCTATGACA